GTAAGACCGCCCATTTTGGGGATGAGAGCACGTACTTGCATGTAGATTAAGCCCCCAAAGTTTCAGCCCTGTAGCTTTTGTAGGTTTCGAGATGCAAAATCGGTACAGAGGCCCTGCGCACACACAGACACACAAAAATACGCACACGCAGACAACCTCTCGTCAATATGCGTTTTCCGCACTGCATAGCTGCAAAAAATGTATAAAAATAGCCGAATTGGATATGCCAGTTTGTTCAGAAAATACACGGATAAAGTACTTTTCTTTTTAATTACATGAAAGCAAGCGGCTAATTTTCCAAACGTAACGCTCTCCAGTTCTTTAAATTATTTTATGGAGCATATAAATTCAAGCCGCTCAAAATATCCGCTTTTGCTGTTAACAAAACTATAACATCTAAAGTTCATTTTGTTGAGCAGTGAAATGCGACACGTATAATTTTCGTATTACTAAAAAAAAAGCGGAAACATGAAATGAGAGCGGCTTTTCTGGTCCATTCGAGAAGGCGAGTGTAGAGTTTTCCCACACGCCACATATGCTACTTTACAGGATGGTTAGGGGGCTGTAATGATGATTCCCACATCTAAGCACACCTCCAGTTGTCTGTGTTTACAGCTAAGGGATGAAACACAGACAAATATCCCTAAATATTCTCAGCACATGCGTTATCAACATGTCACATTGTTTATAAAACATATTCCTAAACACTATCTCCCAATTTTCCCCTCCCCCCCTCCCCCCACTTCTCCCCCGCTCCCCCCGCCATGCGCATTAGCTTATTCCACTTGAAATATTAAACTCGAACCTTCCCATTCCATTCTGTCTATTCAGTTGGTAAACTATAACCCCGCGCATCTGTATGCTAAACAGGCTTGCCAGCAATAAGACGCGTTTGGCTCTCCCGGACTGCGTAGAAGTGAAACAAGCAACAATAAAGTGTAGCATCTCTCAGCAAGCTCACGGGCAGCAGCATATTTTGCAAGCGGGCGATGCGCTTTCACTGACAAATCTGTTATCATTGACAAAGTATATACACCGCTGTGGAGACTGCCTTTAAAAGGCAAGCTTTTTTC